TCTGGAAGGACAGAAAATCTCTGGAAGTATTTTAAATTTGTTATGGAAATTTATTCTATAAGTGCCGTACTGACAGAAAAAAATTCATTTAATGGAAAAGGGAGAGCCGGGTTCGGCCTTATAATCTAAAGCTCTCTTGAGGCATTTGTTACAGTAATGAGAAGTGGTATTTTATCAAGGACAGGTTCCAAAATTTGAGTTAGAAATATTAGAACCCGCCTTGCCACCTCCAAGAAGGTTACACTTTTAGGCGTCGTATAACTGGAACCATTTTAAAGTTGACTTAGAGGGATTGATATCTTTCGTATGCCTAGCGAGCAGATGAGATTTTATAATTTCATTGTTTTAAACGGCCTAAGTACCTTAACTCGCTTAAAAAATAACGAGCTATAACGAAATGTGCACAGAAAGAAAATATAAAATCATTAAATTATTTTACATATTTGTATAAAAACGTGGGGTGAAACCCGCGGGTATAAGCTAGTCATGGAATAAAGGTGTAATTGTGAAACCCATCGGAAGAATAATGTACCTCATAGACACAGAAATGGGAAAAAGGATAAAACGTCACCAAAATCAAATCCGCGCACAACATGTGGCTGAACAGTTCTCAATTTTTCGAAGCCTCTCACCTACATTCATCCATTGCAGGAAAATCAATTTCATCTGCGATGCCTTCTCCAATAACTTCCGTTCCAACTGATCATACGAGTTCTGCATTTCAACCTCGTTCTTCTCTACAAGATTTTTTAAGGCCATCTTCAATACGGAAGTCAACTCGTTTTAAAGGCAAGCCAGATTTTTATACACCAGAAGTTTTCAAAAAATTGGCGAGGAGAAAATGATATGTTTTTACTTTATAAAAAATTACTTGTTGATCTTCCGTTGATCTTGCTAACTTTGGAGAAAATGATTGTCTTAAAATTTTCTATATTGTTTGATATTCAGTCTGGAAATAAACTTTACTTTAAACGTTTCATTAACTAAGGAACATTTAATGATTTTACTAGTCTTTCTACTTGCGATTTCTTTAAATAAAACATGTGAATTTTAGTTGAAACATTTTAGCCGTTTTTTGCCAATATAGCCGGTCGGCCCAAAAAGTTCTGGCAACACTGATAAGAATACGCAGTCGCAACGAACCAGTAACGAAGATTTTACTTGAATTCAACGTAATCGAGTTAGCTGAGAATTTGCCAACGAAAACCACCACCAAATTATATTCTCTATCAGTGTTGCCGTTTTAGCCCTTTGGTGGCTAGATTTAGCTCCCACATAGTTTTTTTGCCCACATAAATTTAAAATTGCCCCTAGCCCTTT